AAATATTTTTATGTAGTTTTAATATCGGAAAGTTATTGACAAAGTGTACGTTTCATTTCATTTTGAATGAACTGATGCTAATTTTATTTTAAATATTTTACAAATAAATAAATAGTAACTAAACATATTACTAATAAATATACGTAATCTATAATATTATAGAATTTCTGTTTTTATTTTAGTATTTTACAATAGACGAAAATATATGATTAAGTCTGTACAATATCTTATCCAGGAAGTAGGTACAAATTTCAAAATACTTACAAAACAATTTAGCACTTATTATCGATAATTTTGGATTTTTAGTTGATACTATTTCAAAATTAGAAATTTCTAAAATGGCTATAACCGAGAGCCTAGAAATAGTAAATTATGCCATTAAGAAATTGGAGTTTTAATAAACTCAAAATTACAAAACATATTGGGAAAAATCCCAGGATTTAAGGTTGTAAATTCGAAATACTATTAAACAAAACTTCAACAAACAATTTAGAAATAGAGTACAGTCTAAAAGAATTAACATGTATGAAATATGCACCTGTCACTTCCGTCGATGTGAAGAAGCTATTTAGTAGTTTAGTAGTTATAAAGCAATACCATGATCGAATCACCGTAATTTAAAATTTGAAAATCTCAAATTATATGTCGTTTCTAATTGTTTCTTCCATGAAGAATATTCGGATGATTCAGAATAGACATTTTTATTTTTGTAATATGTATTATTTATAAATTATAGTGAATTATATCTCATTTTCAATTTCAATATTTCAATATTATAAATAAATATTTATGAAGTAATAAACTAATATATATTTAAACATTTTTAATTTTTTTACTAAATTTAAATCCGTTCTCTACTAATAACTATTAATAATTAAGTAGCAGCCGAAAATGTTTTTACGTAATAAGTATTGTTCCCACAAAAAAAGACGATATGTAATGTAATTGAATAAATTTTAAAATATTTTTAAATTGTGAATACATTTAAGCTCATTTTCCAATAACAAAGATGAATTTCCAAATTATATATTATTTATATATTATATAATTTGCTTTAAATTCTATCAATTTTATATTTAAAATATTAAAATAATTCCATATACATAAAATACGCTATTAGAAATAAACAAAAAAATTCTGGGGTGAATGAAATACTATATATCGCGTACTATTATTTTTAGTATTAACTAAATACAATTAATTGAACCCATCATTCGTATTTTAATAGTATCATAAACTAAAACTCGTTCATTTTGGTGTAGTCACTGTTGCTACGTTTTAAAGTGCATATCAATACCTTAAGAGAATCTATAGTCTAAAAGGGGCAACTCGTTGCTTTCCGAATCGCTATAATATATAATGTACTGTATTGTATTGCATTAACCAACCGTCTGACACCGTCCTTTAATTTACTTGCCACATAATGTGAATATATGACTATATAGACAGACATCGTCGGTTCCAAGTATGAAGGTGGGATTATTTATACTCGTATTATTATCAATATACCTTCGACGGCTTTTGAGAACGTTTTCGAGTACAAAACCTTCACGTTTTTTTGCCAAGTACAATATCACCTAAATAAGGTATCTTAAATAAAAGAAGTTTTTGAAAAATGTATCGCATATTGATTGACGGGTGTTTGTGAACAATATAATGTTCTAATTTAATATTTTATATTCGGTGCTATTTTATTTTTTAGATTTCAACTCACATAAATGCAATTTATTCATAATAATAATATTATATTCGTCATTTACAAGTATGTCATAAATAATTATGTAGAGTCTCAAATGTTAAATATCATCAAAAATCGTTCATGGAAGATTATTTCCAAGTACTTAGATTGGACATATTGAAAGTATTTAGGTAATTATGACTACACGCCAAGTTTTCAAGATTAAAATCGATAATGATTGCAATAGTGTTATGATGTTATGTGTTATGATTGTTAATAGTATCTTTTACATACTCTCACCATGATGTTTTACTCGTTGAACTGTCTTGCAGCCAACGATTTATGGAATAATCAAAATCATAATATTTCGTGAATCAGTGATTTTTAAAATCTGTAATCTACTCTATTAGCTTTTCTTTCATATTGTCCTTGTAATACATTCGCATTTTGTACGTGTGTTTTGATATTTTTTTTTTTTTGTGTATTTATTTTTTACTTATTTTTTTTTATTTTATTTTTTTTACTTATACAAAAAAAACCAAATACACATTGTTATATATTTTGTTATGATTTAAATGATCAAGTGGTTCATTATACTGACAGCAGTTGAAATTTTCACAAAAACACAAAATATTATATTCAGGCGTGCCAAGTGAATCAATAAACGATTTAAATTTATACTCGAAAAACACAATATAATTACCAAGGCTCATAAGTTCATATATTTGCATGTTTTTTTTTCGCTACACTAGAAAACATGTTAAGTGAGATGCAAACATTTGCAAATTTTAAGCATGTTTTTGCATGTTTTGTGTGTATCGGCATATTTGGCATGTAGTTATTTTTTTTGAGTTATTAACGCATATTATTTTACGTATGTAAGTTCAGCAAATACGGTTTTCGTAGAAGTTAAAAAAAAAATTAGATCAATAAATGCTTGAATTCATTCTAATTTACTTTTCTGAATATGTTTATGAAATCTTAGTATTTTATCAATGTTTATATTTTTGTATGATATTGAGTTTTATAAATTAAAAATAGTACCATGGAAACAATATTATTGCGCACCACTATGACCCTCCTCCTATTGACGTGTGCATTACAATCTATCAATTTAATTTCGTTGCAACTTGTGTTAATTAATTATAATTATAAAATATACCTTTTAAAAATATGAATAGATAATTTTTATTATTTAAAAGAATGCTTATACATTTTTATTTTTTGTGCATAGTTTAAGATTTTTAATGCATATTTTAAATTTTTTTAGTGCATACTTGAATGCATATTTTATCAAATATTAGTGCATAATTGTTTGCTTATTTGTGCACTTTTAATGCATGAACTTACGATTCCTGATAATCACAATATCAGTCTAATTTATGGATGATGGGTTCGTGTACTATGTCAGTCAATTTTTCAACGATCAATCTATTATTAACAAAAGTTATGTAATATTCTGCATTAGTCCGTAATAAAATAGCACCTGTTAATGCCAGTGGCAATTAAAGTCGTATAAAGCTGATGTTGTGTACCACGTGAGAAAATACTACGGGACGGTGACGAATTTATTTCAGACATGTTTCTGAGACATAGTAAACCACTTGGGGACATTTTTTTCAGCAATAAGAAATTCTATGGGTTTCCACAGCTCATTTTATCGTTATTCGAAAAAGCAAAAAAAAAAAAAAAAATGGGTCATACTTAAGTTTTTTTTTGTAAACATAAATTATGACTTATGATGTAGCTATGTTTGTCTTACGAATCTATAAGAAATTAAAATAAAATCATCATCAGTGAAATAGTAGTAAGTTTATTTCAACATGGTGTTTTACAATAGTTAGAACGTATGAGGTAACCGTCATGTCACGCTGTGACACGTTACCAGACAGTCAGTGGTCCTATTGATAAATATAATTGAAAAAATCTTTTTTGACAGTTTTTAATTTTAATTTGGAAATGAGAAATACGGATGGAATCAAAAACTTTCTGCATTACTCGTATTGTACACGTATTTTAAAAAAATGATCAAATTATTATTTGACAAACCGGTGAGGTGAAGTGTGTCTTCAACTTAACTCCGTACTTGTTGTAGGTACTCTCGATGTTTTGGAATGAATCTCTCCCACGCGCACACACATAGTCAGAACATCTGACTGACGGCGACGGATGAAAACCACCATAATGCTAATCATAACAATAAAAATAATAATAATAAAAGAGAAATAAGTAATACTATCACCGAGAAAGGTATGGGAAAACGGGCAATTGTAAATTCCCCTAAGAGAATTTTGCTACTGAATTATACATATTTAAATATTGCAAATTTCCCTGAAACATATTGCCACTGAATTTATGCTAATTATGTTATATTAGGTATTTGTATATTATATATTTATATATTAATATATTAAAACCATTTGGCGTTACCCAGAGAACACCACGTGAAGGCGGTTTCATTGTTCTCCAAAAATTGTTTTTTTCTTTTATTAGTATTTTTAATTTATATAATTGTAGCTATATAATTATATAATTTTTTACTATAATCGTCAACAGTTTTTGTTAATTTTGAGATATCAATGAGTAATAATGTGAAACTGATTTTATCTATTGAAATTATGTAGTTATTTGTTGTTTATAATTTTCTATTAGTTAGTTTAATAAATGTTGTCGTATTTTTAATTTATTTAAATTATTAACATTTTGTAATTTTATGTATATTTATGATTGAATATTTCTTAACGTATCTATAAATATAAAAATATTGGGATGAGAATGATTAGAATTTGTATTGAAATGGACATGAAATAATTCACAAGCGTTCGTCGTTTTCGTCGATTCGGAAGAAGCCTCTGCCCAATCTTTAGGTTTAAAAATTGTGCGTTCGTTTAGTGCGTTGTACGGAGATAAAAATACAATGAAGACCAAGGTTTGCAAAAATATTTTGTAAAACATAAAATTACGTTGAATAGAAGTTTGTTATAGAGCAGTTCAATTTTAAGTTTAGGGAAGTTTACATACGTGTAATTCAGTAGCGAAACAATTTTAAGGGGAATTTACAATCCTTTAGGGCAGTTTACACGAGCCCGGGAAATCAAACATTAGTATACGACGGAGGAGTAATAACGGTCCTTTATGCGTGTGTGTAGATTGCCTATCGCGATTTTTCGTCTATTCGCGTCCGTCGTGCAGGTCTAATCAAACGCGGTTCACTTCGTCGTGCGAATCGTTGTGGTCGCGGGTGGCGCTAGCGACGGAGACGGATGGCCCCGTTCGGCGCCAGCACACCATCCCCCGACACCATTCGACTGTACGGCTCGCGCGCAGTCGGTTACCGGCATTTCGACACGCGTTACCGGTGCACACAACGTAGTCGGAAATACCGCGAGAACGTGCGCATACACTTACAAGCACACAAATACCTACACACAAAAACACACACACACACACACACACACACACACATACACACACTATTTTGTTTCGCTGTTGTCAATAAGCACATCTCGTGGAATAAGTCGAAGAACTATTACCGTTATACCGTCATCACCCGATTGCACGGGAGTACACACGACACGGCGTCAAGGTAATCTCGCGTAATAATTATAATAATACGGATTCCATATGGCTCGTTTCTGACGTGATTTCACAAATCACGAGACGACGAAAAGGTTGCACAGGTTTAACTCTCAGATCCTGTACCGCGACCTGTAGCGCGTATAATAACCGCATGGTTAGCTACCAGGCATTATTTATATGTTTGCGGATTTTTTTTTTTTTTTTGATTTTTCTCTCGAATCATGACCGAGAAGAAAAACTGAGGAGCTGCGCTGCAAACGAATAGTTTTAACTCAAGCGTACATATTCTAAAGATAAAATTATGATGTTCAAGTAAAACCTTGGTTTTTGTGTGTTTTTTTTTCGTAAAAATCAAGTGAAATTCATTGAACATATAAAATATATAAAGAGGCTTACGGTGTATTTCGGTATTGGTTTAGATATTTTATATTATTTACGTTGTATTACATTTCAACCGCTTATGACGGTGGAACTTAATTTGTTACTCTCCAACTCATCAGTTCGGGGAAGACTGTTATTATAGTAACTTCTGGGCTGAATAAAGTGATCATCCTTCGATAATTTATCATTTTATTGGAGTAAAAACCTATTTTAAACACATCTTGAAACAAAAGAGCTAAATTAATTAACGAATACTGAAGAGAAAACACATGTTTTATTTTTGGCGTGCATAATTAAAAAAAAACATTTAAAAAAAAATGGTAAATTAACTAACCATGTATAAAAGTTGTTATGCATTCAGTTTTGATCCTGACCGTTTTAAGAATTTTCGTGGCAAGAAAGACAAATTCGTTGAGAGTGGTTCACCGGACGTAAAAAATGTGTAGATGATGAGCTATTGGAAAAATACTACGTGATTAGGTATGGACATCGCAAGAAATTTCTTGATCGTGTGTGACTTTTACGTTCTTAGAGCGATTTCAACAAATAGCATGGTGAAGAAGAGTCTGTTAAAGCAGTGGTTTTCAACCTTTTTCGGATCGCGACCCTCTATTTTTTATTTTTATGTAATGTGATCCCTTCAAAAAAAAAAAAAAATTATGTTTTATTCATCAAAATTTGATTTAATTACCGATAAAATATTTACATGATGAATAATTTTCATTAATTAACACTTAAAAATTTCACAAAATAAATAATTTCCTTTTTTTTTTTTTTAATAATTCCTACGGAAAAACCATTTCATTTATTATTTTTGGCGACCCCCAGATTGAAAACCACTGTTCTATACAATGATATTTAACTCAAATATTTAGTATATAACTTGAAATTTCAACTTATTATTGAAATCGTTGTGAACCGTATTTATAACATATTAAGTGGTACCAGAAATTAAACCATTAATGTTATTGTTATTATTATTATAAATAAAGACTGGTTGAATTGATTAAGCTATATTGCAGCGTCAGTATTCAGTATTCATACACAATATAAATTGAAAATTTAATTGGTCCAAGGTTATGATTCCTGATTTACTTTAATTTTAAAACACTATACAATTGTTATTTATTCGACATCGACAATATATTATAATTGTTTTAATATTTCTATAAATGTGTAAAATAAATTATAAAGTTATGGATGATTTAGGTATTTTAATTATTATTACTCTCATGATCAACATGGTCAATGTTATATTAATTGTCATTATTTTTATAATTATAAAATTGCGACTATACATGTTTTATAAAAAATTTCAATATTATTATTGTTCTGATTAAATTGTTCTGAACAACTGGTTTATTCTTAAACTGAACTATTTAGAATAAGAAATTATTCATTATTTACAAAATAATCAATTATTCCAGAATTTATGCTATATTAATTATTTTGATTTGATTGATAATGTGCGTTATATGCGGTTACAACAAGCGCTCTCACTCCATACACGCACTACTACGGTCATTTAATCACAGTATCCATTGCCATTATATCTCGTATTCTAACACAGTGGTTTTCAAACTGGGTGTCGCGAATCATAGGTTTGGGGGTTGCCAAAAATAATGGATGAAATGATTTTTCCATAGGTATTATTTAAAAAAAAAAAACAAAGCAAATTATTTATTTTGCGAAATTTTTAAATGTTAATTAATCAAAATTATTTATCATGTAAATATTTTATCGGTAATTAAATCAAATTTTGCTGAATAAAACTACATTTTTTTTTTTTTTTTGAAGGGGTCGCATTATATTAAAAGAAAAAATGGGCGGTCGCGATACAAAAAAGGTTAAAAACCACTGGTATAGAATAATGAATAATGAATAATCGAACAACGAATAACCCAATAATGAATAAAGAATAATTGTAAAAATTAAAATGATGAATATAATTTTTTCTAAAAACTGTGATTTAATTAGTTTACTGTCAGTTAAATTAACTAATTATTTAATTATGAATTAATTTTTAATTTAACTGTTTTGTTTATTTATAAATACAAATCACAATAATTTTGTGAATGCAACCCATACATTTATGGGTTCCTTTGCATAGAACCTGAGATAAATTTAAAATTTTTATTTGAAGTAGTAATTCTATTGAAAAATTTTCGCTACCTACGTACAGCGTAATGCGTATGATAGTATACGCGTAAGGAATACAACGTTTATATAGGTATAATATGTATAAAGTACCTCAAAGATATGTATGGTTATTTTTGTACTTCAAATCTGATGTAATAGAGGTTTCTAATGTGCAATTATTGGTTGCAAAATGACCTAACATATCAGAATAATAATAAATCTATATTTTTACATTATGTACGAATCATTGTGTACATATATTACATAAGTACTCGAACAATCTTACATCACATAATATAAGAATTATTTAAATATCATTATAAAGTGTATAATATGTGATTATACTCTATAATACTATTGTACATTTACGAAAATTCATTATTTTTATCAGTAAATTTATTTTTAAAATCTAAGTTAAACTAACAGTCATACAATGACGTATTATTTTTATCATTGTATAAGAATCGAAATCTAAAATGTATTTTAGTCTGTATACTAAAAGCAGACTCAAATAAAAAAAAATAATAATTACATCTAAGAGACAGATCCTATTTTTTTTCTTTTATACATGGTTTTAAATTTGTTGTTCAAAGTCAGTGACTCCAAACATTTTTTATCGTACCCCACTCCCTACGTAAGTTTTTTTGAAAATCTTATACTCCCTATTTTATTTTGGATATGGAAATTTAATTTTTAATTTATTAAGTATTTGAACGCTGATTTTACATTTTTAAGAATTACAAATTTAATTTTAATGAACTTATAATATTTATAAATTTAATCTTAATTTAACGGTTAGGGTAATAACTTTATAGATAATTGATTTTAATTAATGTAGTTGATATGCCATGAGCGCATATTATCATTAAACTAAGTGAAACGTACACTAAATTAATTTATCGGTTCTCATATATAATAATATATATACCAAATTAATCTTTATGTATATTCTAAACATCACTTCATAAATTTAAAAATGTTATGAATTCTTCTCTTTTTGTTTACTTTGCAAATACGAGTAAACTATGCAATCAATATACGTAATAACTATTATTTCCTTTTTTTTTTTTAGATATATATAAAATTTGTATACTTCGTGATGACTGTTTGTACCTCTTAGTTTAGGAAATGCTTTTTCAACGTAATTTGAAATACAATTTTGAATTTGATAATATTTTTGATAAGTTATAAGTACCAAATTCTTTTGATTTTGTCAAGATGACTACAGTGAGACTAATATCCATTATCATATGTATTCACAATCATAAGTTTTTTGTACAATTAATTTTGATTTTCTTACTATCCATTCATTAAGAGTATCCATATTAAAACGTAATACGTAACTAACTAGAAGACGAAAAATATTAATTATATAAAGATAGATATAACATTGTTAAATATAATCCATCTAGAAATTAAGTACGTCTTAGAATTAATAAATTTATCCAGGCAATAAAACGATAATATTTTTGAATTTAAAGAGTCCATAACAGAAATAAGTATCATTTATATTTCATTAAATTTATCTGTACATGAAAACTATAAATACGATTTTTAAAATTAAGTATTACAAAATGTATACGTGTATGTATAATGTTATGATGCAGATAAGAAAATGTAAAATTAGCTTAAGAATTATCACTTAAGTGATCACTTAAATTATCACTTAACTTTATCACTTAAGAATCGATTTTGTGAAAATATTATGCGAGATTTGGTTTTATTTTTCAAATCTCATTTTAAAAACTTAGGCTAATTTAAATTTGAATCTCTGTACTACTTTAATAGTGTATAGTATAATGTGAAACAGTACATTTGGTGATATCTAAGTAAAGTTTTTCTACACTAAAATTTTATGGATGCTTAAAATAATAATTATCTGGATAATATGCGAACATATTGTATTTTTTACACATCGTTGAATGAGGTATATGACATTTTATTATTTTTATTATTTATTTTTTTTTTAAATTTGAAATTTTTTTAAAGCGAATGTTTCAAATATTATGAATATAAGATTTAATGAATTATTTACCTTAATAAATACTTTTTTTCTTGTACTTCTAATCTCTTTATTTATTAAATTTACTTGTAGCATAATTTATGTGCAATTATGAAGTGTATCAATTTAATGTTTTATAATTTTAGTTATTAGTAAAATATTTTTTTTATTTTTATACTATTATGAATAAAACTGAAATATTACATAGTTAAAATACGTAAGTATATTATTTATGTATATACTTAATATTTTATATAATGAAATCATGAAATTGTCTTTCTCGTAAAATCAAAAACTAAATTTTGTCATTTCATGAAATGTATTCTTTTATTACAGATACAATTGAAATATGTTTCTTTGTAGATATCATTGATAATATATTATTCTGATATTTTTACGAAGAGATTTTTTTTCCATATTTTTTTATTTACTCGTAGTGAATTTCATTTATTTAAAGTACCTACCATATTAAATGGCGAAATAAA